TTTAATATTTATTCTTATAAAAAAAGCTTATTTTCAGAGAAATATTCAGCGAACTTTTTTAAGAAAATGGCTAATAAATATTAGATTTAACAATTTTATACAACAACTAACTACTTCAAGTAGGGAATAATTCATGCTTTATGGTTAAATTATTTTATATTGTAGGCTAAATATGAAATGATGGGTACCATGTGTGCAAATGTAACATACAGAAATTTTGGGTAATATTTTGAGGACAGAAATTTTTTAAATGTTATCTTTCACAAAAAATTCATTTTTTAACAAAGTTCGCGGTATTTAAAAATAGCCTTTGTTAAAACAACTAGTTTGCAAATAAATGTCACCTCTTTGATATCTAGATAATAATCTTTTGTATTTATAGCAAGTTACCTTTTCATGGTTTTCAAAGAAAAGATATTATTCACAAGCATTATAAAAAACTACTGGACTTAAACATTACACTGATACAAAACCATCAAAGCATTAACAATTATGACCAATTAAAACAATATTATTCATTTGCATCGACAAACCTCAAGCTAATCTACTAAAGAAGAAAAGCAAAATGAATATTAAAATGATGAATAATAATTCATGTATATTCAATATTAGTATAATATTTCAATAACTTTTAATATGGCCATGCACTTGAATTAGTAAAAGAAATTACTCAAAGACTACACAATGAAAACATTTATTGGAACTTTTAACATACCAAATGGCTGAAATTATACAATTACAACAAAAGAGTTCAGAAGCAGCACAAAATTGTAATCAGTAGGCAACATCACAGTGATTAAGATGATTAGAAAGCATTGCTGCATAGAATTTAAAAAAAAAACTCAAGCATTTAGCATTTTATTACACTATATCTACATGCATGTTAAACTTAACAGTATGCAGGAACTATACAAACTTTGTTCTCTTAAATTCAACTAGAAAAATATTCTTACAATCAGAATCTTCAAGAATATTTCTCAACAGCAGATACATTAAGTTATGTAGCAGAAATGAAATATGGTTCTTTTTCTATCATGCTAAAATGTAACATGTTTTTTTTTCCAGGTTTTGTAACATAATATTAACCCTTAACTAACACCGTATCTTCTGACATTAATACTGATGTTAGATTTTCTACAGTTTATCTAAAATCAATAAATTAACAATAAAATTACTTTTAATATTGAAGTTAGTTTAAACAGAGCTTAGAGTCTTTGACAACAATTTTAGTATGCATGGATATAAACAGAATGACTATTTGGCCTCTAACAGATTCAAGTTAGGGTCACAGTTAGTCAGTTCTAGAGAAAAAATCCACAAGGAAAAAGCCCACACACAAACATGCCCACATAGAAAAATACTCACATGGAAAAATGCTCACTTAGAAATATGCTTACACGAAGCTCACATAAATATATGATCACATGGAAATAAGCCCACTGATAGATAAAATACATAGAAATATCCTTACATTAATCAATCAATAAATTAAACGATTTGAACATCATACACTTACTTGAATTTTTTAAAGAAAAATTATTTGATCATTTGAAAAAATTATTGGACAAATGCTCATATTAACCTTTTCAGGGTGGGATATAAAAGAATGAAAAATATAGTAAAATTTTGCATGTACCGTAATATTTTATATCACTGCCCTCTGTATGACATTTTTTCCCCCTTGTAACTGCCAAGTTTATTTTTGTTTTCTATTTACTCTATTTTGCATACTTTTGATGTGTCTCTACAGAAATTGATGTTTGAATGTAGTTATTTAAGTTTGAAGCCAAAAAATTTCTAGAAGACAACAGTTTCCAATTGAAGCGTGGAATCATTATGAAGCAGCCTTAGGAAAATCTTCTAACAACAAATTATTACAAAAACTTTTATAAGATACTAAATTCATTATTTAATTGTAGCCATTCTAGTATGTGGTTTTTGTTTGATGACTGAAAAAAGATTTAGCCCGTCAATGTTTATTACTAGCTATTGTTTTTGTACTGAAGTAACAAAAAAAAAAAAAAAAAAAAAAAAAAATGAAAACTTACATTTGGTAATCGTGAATCATGTAAGAAACAATGATGAAATCGATGATAAAATTAGATATTTACATATATTAGCTAATATTCAGTAAGTCTATAGAGACATTAGGTATTTTGGAAGCAGGAGATGTGAAAAATGAGCAAAGCCTTCATCAGAAATCAAATCACGGACCTCTGGAATACACACCCAATGTACAGACCACCATACCATGAAGGCCTGCTAGGAAGATGGGAGAAATACCTTATATATTACCCCCTTTTAAAGGGTGACTGAGGTTTTTAGAGGATCAAATCGCCAAATCCTGGGTGTGCAGAATCATCATCCAACATCCTTTTAGTTCGGGCACCACGGTAGAGACATTACGTATTTTGGAAGCAAGAGATGTGAAAAATGAGCAAAGCCTTCGCCAGAAATTGAACCACAGACCTCTGGAATACACACCCAGCGTAAAGACCACCACACCACGAAGGCATGCTAAAAAGGCGAAAGCAATACCTTATAAGTTTATGTGAAATATACATGATTTATATATAGCAAGCTATTTTACGTAATTTAAATAAAATAATTATTTCTCTTTGCTTATTCTTCTAAATGTTTATATTATAAAATGTGTAACTTATACTTACTATTTTTTTAACAATTAAAATTGTAATAATTTTTTGCTGTATATTCTGTTTCATTTTCCTTCCTCTTAATCTTATATAACAACTAAATCTACACAAGTTATATATATATATATGCCATAGATGTTTTGGTAATTTAAATAATTTTTCTTTGAAAAATTCAAGTAGGTGTACAATGTTCAAATCAATTAATTATTGATTGATTAATGTAAGGATATTTCTATGTATTTTATTTATCAGTGGGCTTATTTCCATGTGAGCAATAAAATTACTTTTATAGTCAAAAGTTCCCGACAGCCAAACTAACTTTAATCATCACATATATAATGTAGGATATAAAAAAACATGATAGCTGCTTTAAGAAATAAATGGTGACCTCAAAATTAATTATAGATTTTATTTATGTGAGCTTTTTTTGGTGTCAGCATTTTTCTAAGTGAGCATTTTTCCACGCGAGTATTTTTCTATGTGAGCATATTTCTGTGTGGGCTTTTTTCCTGTGAGGATTTATACCTGTGAGCATTATTCTGCGAGCATTTTTCCTGTGGGCATTTTTCTGGTCACCCAGTTAGTCAACTGTTAAAATTATACTCTGGTTTCCAAAAGTTAAGCTAACAATGCAAATGTTTAATTGGATCCTAGTAGTATTAGTTAATTTTGAAAGCAGATTTGAATTTCAGTGGATGAAAATCACTGTAAATAAAAATGGCAGTATGCAAATATCAATATTACAGCCAATCGAAAATGACTATTAGAACACAATCTTAATTAGGCAGTTACTGAAGATGCCAGCTTTCTAAAGGGTTGGAGGATGTTTATTTAAATGCTGATACAAAGTGTTTATAACTTTCATAGAATAATTTTTTTATAATATTCATGTTTCTATGATTGAAAGAAGACAAATGGAAATCAGTGAGCACTGGTGTGCTATTGAATACATTGAAGCAAGACAATATATATTTATATAAAAAAGATTTAAAAAATGCAAATCAAAATTATAATTTAAAATGCTTCTTAATTGCTCATTTTTAATTTAGGTGCTTTATCTCTAGTAATAACTTTCTCTAAACTGCGTCATATATGGAAACGTATTCTGCATTATGTCATCTTGAAACATCTGCATTGCCTACAAGTTTCAGCCGATCAGATTAACGAAAAATTTTACTATAAATATTGTTGCAATCCTACCCTACTGCTCTTTCTCTGCTTGTGCTTGTCGTCCGAGGGATGTCTTCTGCTTTGATTAAAAATGTAATGTGCCATCATCAAAATTGTGGGGTGCAAATTGGCCCGCGGTGTGAAGTGCAACAAATAAATAAAGATATATTTGAAATATCAAGTGATTTTTGTGATTCTTCAAAAGTTCCCGACAGCCAAACTAACTTTAATCATCACATATATAATGTAGGATATAAAAAAATATGATAGCTGCTTTAAGAAATAAATGGTGACCTCAAAATTAATTATAGATTTTATGTTCTCCCCCTAAACTCATCTTTTCTCTCAAATTTGAGATCTTTCCATGTTACATAACGTTGCTTGAAAAAGGTAACTAAAATTAACCAATCATAAATTCGAATACTTTCTGCATCTATTAGGTATAACTATTCTTTGCAAAACAACTACTTCATTTCTTTTTCTAGCTCTTATCCTCCAAAGAACTTTGCACCGCTTATGCTGTCTTGTCCAGAATGCTTATGCCATACTTTTAAAACTAGCGTACATGAAAACTATTGTATTCTCACTATGATTTAAAAATATCTTGTCTGCAAAAGGATGATTCTTGATATGTGCAAAAATAAAGATTGGCGATTTGCCGAAGTCCAGTTTTGTTATCTTCATCTGTATGCTTTAACTATCAGCCATGACAGATATCGAAAGCTGCTACAAGTAACAAGTAGCATCTACACACTTACAACATTACATATAACATATATATATATGCTTATATACATATATATATGTGATGTACCAGCTTTTGTCCGGAATAAATAGATTGGTGAAGAATCATAGATGTAGTCGTAGCTTAAATTATCAGACGATAAGTTTAAAAAAACAGGATCCATTTATTATTGGTCAGGAGAAATAGCAGTTACAAAAATCATATCTCCAGAGTAAATAAAAAAGAACTACTAATAACTTTTTGTATGAAGTTTACTGCATCGTTACATTAAAGAAAAGACCCCGATATTCCTTTGCGAGCCCTTTTATAGCCTCTGGAAAGGCGGAGCTTCAAAGAAATGACGTCAGCCATTCCAGTTCGCTTTAAATATCTCCAGAATATTCTATAACTGTACATGTAGAAAAGGCGAGAAAAACAACTTGACTATGGGGCTGTGGATTTAATTCCACGTACTTTCAAATAAGAGACCGTCACCATTAAAAATGAAAAGAACAAACTGTTAGAATTTTAAGTGTATTTTTGACTATGGAATTTTATTATTACATATATATAGAAAGATAGGTATAGCCAAGTAGAATTAACAGATGACCTCCACTAATGTTACATTCATAGACTTTTGGCATACTAATATATGCAGTACAGTGCACTGAAGTCTTCTCATGAAGTAATTGTTTGCCCATACTACTAGATATTTGTATAGTATACTACTAGATTGTATCTAGTATACTACTAGATTGTCTACCAGATATTTGTGTTCCACTAATTGCACAATCCAGAAAGGCAAGATTAAAGTGGTATCAATAGCATTTCTATTCGACTGTTTCAAACTGGGATATCATCCCGTTCATAGATGAATTTATATTTTCTCTGGATTCAGAGAAATGTGAAAGGGTCTGGAAAGACTGAGATATACTGTATCAGGGCCAGAACATCATCAAACATCACATGTTCAGAGATGGCAGTATCTAGGTGTGGGCTAACATTTCAGTGAAATATCACTCTTAGTTGCACATTTTTAACTCTTTAACTGGCCAGGAGCATGGCTCCAAAATATCAAGAGAAGTGGCTAGTGTATTCCCCCCCCCAAGCTAAATACCACTGAAAATCTTTGGGGTGTCCTCAAATGTGCTGTCTTTTGCCCATTTATCTCCTCCACACAGTCTGAAACAGCTAGAAATTGCTCAAATACAGGAATGGCCATCTATCTGTGATATTTGATTACTTCATTGAAAGCAAGGGAAATCACTGTAAAGTTTGTGGGAAGGTGAAAGGTGGTTACAGCTTTACAAGGTACAGGGCAGTTTTTTAGATTTAAATTTCAATTTGCTAATGATTGAAATGTGATGTCATCAAATCATTTATGAAAACTAATGAAATATTATTTTACCCTTTGCACATAATGCTTTTTTTTCATGCATAAACACATCTACCATCTGCATATGCAACTTAGTGATACCAAAACTTTAATTTTTCATTTTTATTGACTTTACTGTTGTGTGCTTAACTTTTGGAAGCTAGCATATTAAATGAGATCCATAAAATTTCTCAAAATGTTAAATGTCAAATTTAAAACATAAATAATTAAGAAAGCATGTAGAAAATAAATTAATTTGAATACCACTTTTTTGAAAATTCTTATTTAAATTAATTTTCATTAAATGAATAATGAACATGAATTTTGATGGGTGTAGTTCTAATTTTTTATATTCTATCCACTTAACACATGGGAGATATATATGTGTATAACTTAACAATGCCTAAAAATATACTCTCTTCTCAGTGTATATAAAATGAGCAGTAAAATAGTTAATGTATTTTATAACAAAAGTAATGTTCTTTGACAGGTGCTAATAAAATTTTCTCATTAATGATATTTCTGTACAAAATACACATTTTGTTTAACACTAAAGTTGCGAAAATAAATATCACTTAATGATTTCTTATTCAAAGTGGTCAAATGAATCACAAATTTTCATAGCTTGGCGAAGGACTTCTTTTGGACTCTGTAAATCATCCATAAGTGACGGCACCACTTTATGAAATTTTTCACCTCGTGTTAATCGCTCTAGTTCAATATTATCTATCACAGAAAGATGTTTCTCCTTTAGAGAGTTTTGTCCTAAACAATTCTCACTATTTGTCATATCTTCTGGATTATTTTGATTGACTCCAGAATGAGAAGAATTTAAAACACATTTAGATGAACTAAAACTTTCCAGACCATCATCTGACAATAAATTTTTGAGCAAATCAAATGTTTGACAAGCAGTTTTCTGGTTCCAAATACTTCCAATTTCAGAACTAGTATTTTCAATGCACTTTCGTTGTAAATCAGGTGTTTCTAAACCATCAGAACATTTGTCTTGATTAGTAAAACTTTGAAGCTGTGTGAATGTAACATATGCATCATCTTCTTGCTTTCGGACACTGGCAGAATGCTGAGAGTTAGAATTATTCCACAATGTACCCAAAGGTTTCACTTCAAGATGAAATTCACTCATGCTTTTAGTTTCTACATTTGAATCAAGGGCATTACTTATTATACTATCATTCATGATCATATTATTTTCAACTAAAAGTGACTGTTCAATGTCCAAGTCTTCAAGACTATCAGGTGTATTAGCACCATTTGATACAGATGTCTGAGATTCTAAAACACATGATTTATCACTATCAAATTCAGTTTTCAAAGGAAGAAACTGTTTTGGCCTGCTAGAGTAAGATTTGTCACAAATGTAATTAAAGTTATCATTTTGTTTTATTTGATGGATATTCATGCTTATGTTAGCAAGGTCAGTATCATTTTCCATGCAAGGTGGGACACATGCCATATCCCATATGCTACTTTCAGGTGGCAAATGAGATGTATAAGGACTGTGCTTACCTGTTGGAGGACTGTGAGGGGAATCTTTTCCAGTGTTTCGCATCTCATATTCAGGAGTTGACCGAGGTGCTTGTTCTGATATTCCTATGGGATGCTGAACTTCTGTAGAAAACTGGCGAATACCAGGAACAGGCGAAACTTCTCGAGTAACAGAAAAACTTCCATCTTGCTTGCTAGTTCTCACAGACTCTTGCTGCTCCCATAATCCTTTTGAAATCTGAGGAGGTTGAGCAGTTACATGAATAACTTGATTTTCTCTGTTTCCTCTATTAAAGGACACTCGCATCTGTACAAGTGGTTGACCCGGAGCCCTAGCAGAAACTTGCTCGAATTTTACATTAGTGGGTGATGTTGATTCTAAGGTTACACATCCATCTTTAGTGCTACTAACTTGCCTTGCATAGTTAGTTGGTGGTTGTGGAGAATTATGACTAGAGGAAACTCTTCCGTCAGAAAAGGTAAAGTTTATGCGATGCACAGAAGAAGCAGAATGTGAACTTTCACTGTGATGGACAGACTGTGTTTCTTTTGAGCTCTCCTCTGAAACAGGACTATAGGCAGCAGTTCTAAATCGAATTTTATTCATTTCCCCAAATGATGGTTCTTTATTCAGACTGTGACTTCTCCCACGAGGATTTTCATCAAAAGCGGGAAAATAATCTGCATCACATTCTCCTAACTTATCACTAGATGAACGGTTATATCTCAAGTATTCTCGAGGACGCATTGTAGCATAAGCAGAAGAGTTATTACTATGACTAGTACTAGATTTTCTAGACGCAATTCCTGAATGGCAGTCATTATAAAAATCAAATGGTGCCTCTGAATTCATATGCAACCATTGCTCAACTCTGTGTTTCCTGCCATCAGGCAAATTCTCAAATTGTTCTTTCGCACTTCCTAGAGAAGTGGGAGATAGAGGAGGAGACATTAAGTCCTTTGACCATGATCTCATAAAATTTCTAATCATGTCTTGTTTGCTACTACTACAAATTGATGACATTGAAGACACCCTGCCAGTTCTAGAGAGTTCATCTGATGGGCTGTGCCTAACAGAATATTCAGATTCATATCCATCACTTCCAACACCACTGTCCCGTCTTGGATGTTGACGACCTAAATTTCTTTTCATTGACCATTTTTCATGCCTACTAGGTGAATCTTTTATATTCGATTCTCTTGAAAACCCTTCCTTAGGGGATTCAAAGACAAACCTCAAAACTTTTTCTCGAGGACTCTCAGTTCTATCTCTACTTTGTGAACGAGTCCCCGTATTGTAACCACTACTTGCTCGGGAACCAGTTCTTTTCCAGTTGGCATCAAATTTTGATTCAGAACGATCTTGACTAACAGATCGTCCATAAGAAATAGGTTCATGATGAATGGTTACTCTACCAGGAAATCCTCTGTTAGCTGATCGTAAAAACTGCCAAAGACCCTGGGATCCATAAACAACAGCACTAGAATCATCATAATGCACATCATAATCTTCTTCATTTTCTGAAGATTCCCTGTCAGTAGAACGACCACTTCGAATTTCATACATTTTCTTCTCTCTTTCATTTCTTTCACTTTCAGTTCGGCGAAAATATCTAAAAGGATTTCTTCGCCTCTCTTTACGTAGAAAAGGATCTCTTGAAAACTTCTGAAACATATTACTCATTTTCCTCATATTGCACATCATTGTGTCACCAGTCCAGCTGTCAAATATATCATCATATATATCATTTGAACCGGATGAACTTTGACTATCAGACCTAGTTAATGGTGAATCATTTCTCAGATGCAGGTCTCTAAATTTTTCAAATTCTTCAGCATTACCAGGACGAGTGGTAATTTTAGTTTTTTTCTCAACTTTTGTCCATGAGCCATCAGCTCCTGGAGTTGTATAGATCTTTTTTGTTTCTGTTATGCAAGCTCCATCTTTTGTAAAAGTGAATTTTTTATAGCTCCTAGCAATAGGCACAAGGGGCTTATCATCCTCCGCTTTTGATAAAGGATAAGACTGATTAGATGAACGTTCATCATCTGGTGACAGTCTCCTTAAACTTTCCTCCATTTGTTCTCTCCAGCTACTCATCTCTGAATCAATTGTTGAAGAGATAGCACTCCAATTTACATTCTTATCTGGCAGCTGTCTGTCACTAGGTCGTAAAGCTGAATCCCATAATGGAGCATTTTGACAACTACTACTGCCATTTTTTAAAGTGCTAGTAGAACTTTGAGTTGAGCTTAATTTTATCTCAGCTTTACTTTTCACACTAGTTTCTTCTTCTTTTGAATAAGGTTTTGGTGTTTTATAAAATGAGGGTGCTGGTTCAGGAGTTCCAACAGTTGATACTGGTGTTGAACATGGAGAAGAAATGTCTGATTCTATGGAGCCCTGTTTAGACATTTTTCGCTCTGCAAGTTTAGCTTTAGCAATACCTTTCTTTAGAATACCTTTAGCAATATTTTTCTTCTCTTCAGTGATTACAGCAGTTTTCGTTTCACTGTTTGTATCTAAACTAATAACATTTTTATTAACATCTTCACCTACAGGGCTTTTTGGTTTTTCTCCACATTTTTGTTCAACTCCTTCAGATGGAGGTACAGTTTCTTTTTGTTCACCATCTTGACTATCAGATCTGCTTTCGCTTTTGATAAATTTTTTATTAATGTTCAGCTTTGGAGATGGTGTGGTCTGAGGAGAATCAAAGGTTTTAGGAATTATTATTTTACCAGGTGGTCTACCAATTTTTTTAACATCTACTTTTTCATCTGTAGAAGTTAAAGATTCTTTCACTTGATTTACAAAAGATGTCTCTGGTATTTTTGAGCCAGATACACTCTCTCTTCTTAAAACTTGTTTTAACTCCTCAACTTCAGCATTTTGTTTTAGATTGTCTACATTTTGTGAGTTAGATGGAGAAACTGTAGTAGTTTTTTCACTTTTAGTATTTGAAGTGTCTTTAACTTCAGATTTTGATAGCTTTTTTTCTTCCGACTGCTTTACATTATTATTTAGCTCTTCCGAAGAGATGTTATCTTTTGACATTTTATTCAAACTAGTAGAGCTTCTTAACTTATCTTCTATCTTCTTTTGAGTATCAGCTTTTTCAGAAATTTGGTTGTTAAGATTAGATGAATCAGATTTTCTAGGTTTTTTGTTACGATGAACTAAACTAGATATACGGGCTAAATTGGCCCCAAAAGAACTTTCTGCAAGCCTTTTTGCCCCTTCTGCATGTAAAGCAGCAGCAATATCAGCAGGCAGAAAATCGCTTTCACTAACTTCTTCATCATCAACAGCTTCTTGAAGATTAGGAGAACTTATGCTTAACTGACTAGCATGACTTCCCTTCATGAAGGCAAAGCTGTTTGCAGCTGTATCAGGATTACATTCCTCATCTTCTTCATCCTCTTCATCAGGAATTTCCCGGTCAAAGTCTTTATTCATAGCATCTACACTGCTACCAAACTGTTCAAGTTCAATCTCTTCTTGGGGCACCATTGAATCTGGTGCAAGTGCAAGAAGCAAGTCCAGTCGAACAGGTGTAAGGTTTGCCATGTCTTCGGCAACCTGAAGCAAGGAATGTTCATAACCAAGGTTAACCCAGTAGTCTGTACAGATATCAACTATTGTTGCACGTTTTGAAGGGTTTACTGTGAGCAACTTTTTTATCAGTTCAGAAGCATCTAAAAAATTAAAATTAGATTAATATATACATAAGAATAAGCAGCACACAATTAAAGCAGATAACTATTTTACTCTCCAGCATTTTTATTTTTTACAAGGTTACTTCTGTATCACACTAGAAGGGACAGTCATAATATATTTCATAAAGATTTAAAAAGAAATGTTTGAATTTTTAACAGAGATTACAAATTGGAATGTATCAATTTTATTGTGCAATATGTCAAGTTTGTAGAAAGTAATAGAGCAACAATCTAATTATCGAAAATCTGGCCAAGTGATAGAAGAGAAAAGACATTATTTTACAGCTGTAAAAGAATTTCTATTGGAAGCTAATATAAATGATAAAATTGATTAAATTTTATTGAGAACTTCTAAGTGGAATTCATAATTGGAATATGAATTACTCCATAAGTTTATGAAAATTATGAGCTATGAAGTGAACAGAAAACAATAATGAACTATTATATCTCTACATGTCCTACAATCTACAATCACTGTAAGATTGTCCAGTCCATTTAGGAGACAACTGTGGCAACACACTGTCTTAATCCCATTAAATCTTGATGCACAAACATTCGGTCTTTAACCCATTTAGGACAGGCATGTCATATGTGCGTCACCAGCAAACATTACCTTGTGGCCGAGTGTGCCATACATAAATTGTCGTTAATTCACTTTGTGGCCAAGTGTACCACATATGCCCTTTAACAAAGAACATTTAATTAGTATTTTTTGTTGCCAGTAGATGTAGCTGTATATCTGTTATGGTAAATTTATCCAAAACATGTTGTTCTTCATTCCTATGCAATGATTTTTATTTTTTAAATTTTGTTTCGGAATGACATAAACACACCTCTTACCATGTTTCAGAAAATATTCATGTAAAATATAAAATCTAGCTTTCAAATAATAAATTAATAGCACTTTAACTTTCATTTCATTCTAAAAATAATAGCCATAAATTTGTCTCCCTGTAGTTTTGATGTGTATTTACAGATGAAATCTGAACCCAAAATCCTGTACATTAAACTGTCATGTGATCTGAAATGGAATCTGGTATAATAGGTTAATTGCATCATAACTCCCCTTCTTTTTGCTCTTCCCTTCTGCTTCCAGACACTTGTGTCACCTTGCTGTCTTCTATCCATGCAGAGTTAATTTTTCTAATTTCCGTTCATTAAGAAGATGTAATCTGTACACATTTGGAGGGTGAATAATGCACCTACAGTGATAACATGAATTATCCAAGAAGAAAATTATGTGTGTTCTTTGAGTGTCATTTTCCTAACTATGCAGCAAAGTCTACAAGTTATGATGCAGTTCTCTCCAATGGCAATCCATTGTAACTCTTATTAAGTCATCTTATTTTAATAATAATGCAGTTTTATTACATCTAACAGAACAGTTTTATTACAGATAATGGTGCATTCATACCTGAACCTGTGCAAAATGATTCTGCTTGATTGAGCAATGGTTAAGGAATCAAATTATGGTCTTAAAAGCACTAAATTGTCCAGAAATATCAAGGAAGGAAAAAAAAAAAGTATAGTTTTACTCTCAGTTTCTAGTGCTTAAACTTTCAGTCTACCTCTGCTTTGTAACAAATGATCAACAGATGGAAGTAAAAAGAAAATGTTTCAAAATTCTTAAGCTGATGTTTGGTCTACATCCGTTTTCAGTGTGCGGCATCGATCTTCATGTTAACATTTATTCTCCAGTTATTTTATCAGCTAAATTAATAATGTTCTTTTCAGCAGTTCAAAAAATAAGAATTAATGACAAATTTAAAGATTTGTAATTATTTAATTTAGGGAAGGTTTTTAAAATTACTGTAGTAATAATTAGAAATGAGATTATTGTTTAAAAATTTGAATTTTGAATTATTTTAAGAATAAGATAAAAGTTAATAAAAATGAAGGATTTAATTTTGAAAAATTGGTACAGAAATATTTTGACTATAGTGTAGGAAATATGTAATGTTTAGAGTATTGAGCATAGTTATGATGAATATAAAAATACTAAAAAGAGAATAATTGCATGTAAAGATAAGAGTGCTGGTTCAAAACAGAGGTCCTGTTTTTACCTCTGTTATTTGTTTCTTTTACCCTCCTCAGATCAGAAGATATAAACTTCGAAGGCTCGCACCTATAATTTTTTCATATAATAATAATAATAATTATTATTTGTATATATAAATGGAGTGTGGTTAATTTTTTTTTTTAATAAATGGAATATATAGTGTAGTTCAAAAAGGCCAGTTGCCTTTAAACAAGGAATGGAGGCTTTTATAAGCAACTGCCAAAGCAACCCTTAACCACTCATGATATTATACGAGTCAGTTTTTAAGTGATTTTGCTTAATAGATGGAAATGTTTGTATTAGAGAAAGCTGTGGGGTGCTTTCTGTAAAATAAGAAAATTAGAGATGTAACAATGACAGTAAAAACCATAATTTTAATAATACTATTATAAAATTTATGATGCTAAAATATAAATACTGAAAAATAGTTACGTTTTGAAAATTTTGAAATTTTTTGTGATTATTCAAAATAAGTAATGTGTGTGCAAAAAACTGCAATATTGTATGCAAAGTTTACAAAGCCTTCCCTGAAAAAATCTAATTATATAATCTAATTATATGGACTCTAAAACACAAAGACTTTTGGACTGAAAATTTTTAAAGGACTCTAAAATATTATCAAGGTTCATATTTTGCAATTATGCAAGTATTTATTTTGGTCAAAATTTCAGGATTTGTACTTTTCAAATTATTTCTCTTCATTTGCTTTAATGCTTTCTTACCAAAAACCTTTTTCTCTCACTTAGCCCTTTTCTTCTTGAAGGGAGGAGGGGAACATATAAAATATAGCTTTCAAATAATAAATTAAGAACCCTTTAATTTCTGTTTCATTCTAAAAATAACAGCAATAAATTTGTCTCCCTGGAGTTCTGATGTGCATTCACCAATGAAATCTAAAAAGGTAAGGTAACTGGGTCGTAACTCCCCTTCTCTTTGCTCTTCCCTTCTGCTTCCACATGCTTGTGTCACCTTGCCATCTTCTATCCATGCAGAGTTAACTTTTCTAATTTTCGTCCTTTAAGAAGATGTAATCTGTACAAAATTGGAGGGTCCATAGCACACCCACAGTGATAATGTAAATTATCCAAGAGTAAAATTATCTGTGGAATTTACTGTTATGTGTGTAATTCGAGTGTCACTTTTCTAACTACGCAGCAAAGTCTTCAAGTTATGATGCAGCTTTCTCCAATACCAATCTATTGTAACTCTCACCAAGTCATCTTATTTCAATAATAATATTATAATTTTATTCCATCTAATAGAACAATTTTATAACATATATATATATATTGGGGGGATATAGCAGGGCATATGTTCTGTCTTTCTAGAGCAGTGTTTCTCAACCTTTTTTTGTCATGGCACACTTTTAACGATTTGAAAATTTGGCGGCACACAAAGAAAAAGGTAAGTTTAAAAATTGTTTACTTACCTATAATACACTGTGTAAAATAGTTTATGATAATAATTTTGAATGTAAAATAAAATATGTACTGCAAAAACAGCAATACATTTATTAAGGGATTAATTACAAGTTAATAAATAATAATACTTTTAATGAGAAATTTCAACTCGATGATTTTGATAATTTCATTAATATTTAGTCGTAAAAATGACAATGCTACTCTCACATCATTTTCTACATTTAACAGCCTTCATCTTTTTTCGTTTTTATGTTTGTTAATACTGAAAATCTGAACTCACATAAATAAGACAAAGGAAACTGTAATAATATTTTTAAAGCTTTTCTGACCATCATGGGATAATCACATCTAATGTTAATTCAAAGTGAATTAATTGATTCTTCCAAATATTTTAAAATTAAATCTCGATTATTAGAAAGCGAAATTAGTTCCTCTTCATTCAAAGTTAATTCAAATAAAGAAGTCTTTGGCACCAAAATCGGCTTTATCACAATTGGCACGCTTATTAATGTCTTAAAAACCGAATTTCACCAATTCTCACATGGACTGTATACTAGGATTAAACCAATTATAATTTTTACTATATACATTTCTAAAATTTGGTGGCACATGAAAGTGCTGCGGCACAGTGGTTGAGAATCACTGTTCTAGAGGTTTTATTTATTGCTCTTGGAATTTTTTTTCTAGCGCTAAGATGGTTTAGCAAGTATTTTGAAACTAAATGGAAAAAAAAAAAAAAAAAAAAAGGTATTTAAGAGAAGAAGAGTATAACATGAATGATAAAAATCTTTCTCTCACATCAATGACAGTGATGATATTTTTGCAGAATTAGAAAGTGATAGTTATAGAGATTCTAATATGACATATTTATTTGTTTATATATATATATACTGTATTTGACGGCATATAAGACGCACTTTTTTACCTAAATTTGGTGACAAAAAAGTTACCTGCGTCTTATACGTGAAGGACACAGGTTAACTTTCAATACTGAATGCTATTTTTAGCCTGGATAAAGGTCTAGACACACATAACTTTTTCTACATCTGCCATAATTATTTTGCACGTGCATCAAATATCTGTCGCCAAAAAGCACCAAAGTTCAAAGCTGATGTCGAAGTTCGAACAGGTTTGACGGTCACATTACACTTTCCTTCTTTACATAGACTTTCTTTGACTCAGCCGACACACGTGTGCTACTCTGCCCAGCTCCATCTTGGCCTGAACTTGAAAATGCCGTAAAAATGTGGGTGATAAATAAGAGGAAATCTGGGATAAGTGTTTCAACCAAAATGATAATCAACGAGGCCAAAGAATTTGCAGAAAAACATGGGAATCAGAACTTTTCAGAACTCTTCCGAGGGCTGGTGCTACAGGTTCATAAAAAGGCAAGGCTTATCAATGCGCATAAAAACAACTATTGCACAGAAAATGCCAGCAGATTATGAAGAAAAAATACTAGCATTTCATAGGTTTGTTATAAATGCACACAAGAAAAC